TCTCAAAATCATATTTCAAAACTTCGTGATAAGAATAAAATACAGATTATGCTATGGTGTCCTGTCCGGACGGATATCTATATATAACAATGTAGTCATGCTTCCATGCACGTTTCTGTCAACAGTTTTAGAGATCGAAAAATTAAGGAGCCGCAGCGGCCATCCCGCACGGGGGCGCCGCCGGCGCAGCGCTGCGTTGCCCCGTCATTGTGTTTCTGTTGCGCGTAAAGTCGACAGTTTCTCTCTTTAGATAACCTATTATTACTATTTTCTGTTCTCTCTCACAGGTAATATTATTAAGGTGGCAGTGTGCCCATGAGCAGACATAGAAGCAGATCTAAGCATCGTTCGAGTAAGCCGAGACGACACGTCAGAGATAGCGTAGCTGTGACCGGCAGGTTAGGTCACGCGAGGCGTCGAGCGAAAGTTCACGCTCTTCGCGGCCACTATCAGGAAAGGAACTCGCGACAACTCTGAAAGAGTTTTGTGCCTTCATGAAGGAACAGCGAGCTGGGTCCTCGATAGCAGCCAGTGTGGTCCCGAATCCTGCCGACTCCCAACTCGGGTGATCTTCAGATATCCCATTTTCCCCGGGGGATGAGAACGATATCATCCGCCCGGAGGTCTCTTTTCAGACAGACACACAGACGGCTCTCACGAGCCGGGGCGTCGAACCAGGTGTGTTCTTTCGAGTAAGCAAATGAAAGAACAGCCGACTGTTGTGTCTGATCCTGAATTAATCTTCTCGAGGGATTTTTCTCTCCAGAATCGCAACATCTTGTAGATACGGATGCTAATAAGGAAAACGAGCCTCACCTGGTAAATGAGTTTTTGGTGAAACAGCTCTTCCTTTGGCGTCAGTGGCATGGGATCCGATCATCTTTAACACTACTAAGTCCGAGTTACTTTCGGGACTTACAGACGAAATTCGTTCTAACCTATTAGCCAAATATGATCTCGAAGGAGACTTATCTTCCCTTGGCCCACCTAGGATTAACAAAGAGTTGCTAGCAGCCTTGGGGAAAAGACAGCACATAATGAACCGAGATGAATACCAGGTAAGAGAGCAGCGTCAAGTGGGTGCCAGTCTTAACGCCTTGGGTTCAGGTCTTTCCGATTTGCTTAAAAATCGGGAATACCCCCCAGACGATATAAAGAAGGCAGCCATTACTAAAATAGCAGAAGGTTTACACTTATTGGCGGATCACCAACACCGCCTATCACTGGCAAGACAAGCAATTATCAAGCCGTGCCTGACCTTTGTCGGAAAATCAGCGGCCGATAACACTCGAGCGGACGAGTGGTTGTTTGGATCATCTTTCGCAGGGGTGCTAAAATCAGCACAGGCATGCGAAAAGGCCGGTAAAGATCTATCAAGACCTTCGGCAACTTCACAACCATTTAAGAAATCTACCCTATAACAACACGTCAGCAGCTCATACGACAAGCACCTCAGCGCCGCGCGGGAAACCCCAGAGCCCCTGTTCATCTACATGCATCAGCTCGCCAAACGGGCAGCAGGCAGCGCGGGCAGATATCCAGGGCTTCGAGCCCACTCTCGTTCTCGGGCCCGCTCTCGATCCCGAGCCCGGCGCTATTAAACGTAAGATCAGCAGGGAGATTACCATTATTATAAATAACTGGCGCAAATTAACTTCTAATTCCGAAGGGTTAGAAGCGATTAGCGGCTACCATATTCCATTTACATCTGTAACCCCGCCACGCGCATATCTTAGCGAACCTAACCTAGATGACATCAAAACTGAAGCTTGCCACAAGGAAATAAGGCGCCTTCTGTCCATTGGCGCTATAGAGGCCACCACTACCTCTATAGACCATTTTCTTTCCTCATTCTTTATTGTTGAAAAGGCACCAGGTGGAGGGCGCTTTATTTTAAATCTCAAGGATTTGAATACCTTTCTCTCTCCACCTCATTTTCAGCTAGAGGACTGGCGCTTAGTTTTCCCGACTAATGCATCAAGACTCCTGGGTGGCAACCATAGACTTACAAGACGTCTATTTACAAGTTCCAATCGCTCAGGACCACCGGCGTTTCCTTCGCTTCCAGTGGCGTAACATCTCATACGAGTTTGCAGCTCTGCCCGTTGGCCTTTGTACCGCTCCTTATATATTTACAAAGATCGTGCGACTCGCACTAACACTTCTACGTAAGGAAGGTTGTTCCTTAGTCGTCTACTTAGATGACTTTTTATTACTGGGCCTCTCTCGAGAGGAATGCCTACGGAATATATTAATAGCTAGAGACTTATTAACTTCCCTGGGTTTCCAAATCAACGAGATCAAGTCACAATTAGAGCCAGTACAAGAATGTAAATATTTAGGCTTTGCATTCAATTCAGGCTCTCAAGCTCTTTCAATCCCTCAGAAGCGGAGAAGTAGCCTTTTAAAGGTTATCTCCACGCTCGCAATGAAGCCCAACTACCAAATCAGAGATTTTGCAAGCATAATCGGCTCGTTGACTTCCATCTGTCTGGCCGTTCAATAGGGCCTTTTATATACGAAGATTTTCGAAAGGGAAAAAATTTCTAGCCCTAATAGAATCAAGTAGTAACTACGAAACAAGAATGGACATTAACCCCGTTTTAAACGCTGACTTCCAATGGTCGATTAAAATCATGCCAGATCAGGACCAGACTAAAACTATTTGTCAGGGAATTCCCAAACGTCAAATCTTTTCGGACGCCTCTCTTTCTGGAGGGGGAGCATCATGCGAAAACCTTAACACACAGGGTTGGTGGTCCGAGACAGAGAAATCTAATCATATAAACTTTCTCGAGCTCAAAGCAGCCTTTTACGGGTTGAAATGCCTCGCATCAGATCTTTCAAATTGCGAAATCTTTCTCCGTTTGGATAACACCACGGCAATTTCATATATTAATCGCTTCGGCTCTATTCAATACCCACACTTAATGCCTTGGCGAGACAGATTTGAAGCTGGTGCGGAGAAAGAAATATCATTCTACTCGCGTCCTACATTGCGTCCATAGACAACTGCATTGGGGACCAGGAATCTCGAATTATTAGTCCCGACACAGAGTGGTCTCTATCAGACAATGCCTTCTCAATCCTAGCACATCACTTTGGCCTGCTCGAGATAGATTTATTCGCATCTGTCATTAATGTAAAATATGAAACTTACATGGCCTGGTTCCCGGACCCGGGGGCTGTAGCAATCGACGCCTTCACGATTTCCTGGAAGGACTCTCCTTTCTACGCCTCCCCGCCATTTACATTAATTCCTCGCGTCCTAAGGAAAATAATAAACGAAAAAGCAAACGGTATCTTACCAGTTGTACCGAAATGGCCTTCGCAGGCCTGGTTCCCCCGGTTCTGCCGTCTTCTCGTGAAAGATCCTTCATCAACCTTTTCACCATCTCAGGACTTACTCTCATCTCCTTTCAGGACCAATCATCCAGCTTGGATATCTCTTTCCCTGGTAGCCGGGAATGTATCAGAAGAAGCTTTATCAGCCACGAGGTTCCGCCTCAAGCATTGGATACATCATTAGCCTCAATTAGCAGACTCAACTAGCAAACAATACTCTAAGCCCTTACGATACTGGTGGTCGTTCGGTCAGTCATCATCGATCCCAGTGTTCTCACCAGACCCCATTCAGATTCTTGATATCCTGACCTTACAACTGCGCAGCTCGATTTCATATTCAGTAATCAACACTATGCGCTCAGCGATCTCATTAATCTCAGGTGAAGAAGTAGGCAATCACCCACTAATCAAGCGTTTTTGTAAAGGAATGGCTGTCCTCAAACCTCCTTGCCCTAAATACGACTTCATCTGGGACCCAGCGCCAGCTATTCAAAAATTAGCGTCCATCTATCCATACGAATCTCTTTCTTTAGATATTATTACAAAAGAGCGTGTCTTACTCCTAACTCTAGCCACGGGTCAGCGATTGCAAACGCTAATTGCCTTCAGATTGTCCCACAGACACTTAAACGACAAGCTCATTATCAAAGTACCGGATCGCATCAAAACATCAGCACCGGGACGCTCTCAACCTGTTTTCTCTTTCACTCCGTTTATAGGAAACGAGAACCTTTATATTTATGAAATTGTGAAGCATTATTTACTCGCGGCCAAGGATCTCAGGGCTCTCTCTAGCGTCGCGTTCTTTGTTTCGCTTACGAAGCCACATAAGGCAGTTTCCAGCCAGACAATAAGTCGCTGGATAAAATTAAGTTTAAGCGATTGCGGAATTGAAACAGATGTTTTCTCTGCGCATAGCACCCGCCATGCCTCTACGTATCTGGCGGCTAGAAAAGGGGCTCTAGATATAATAAAGCGCGCCGTGGGATGGTCAGGTCAATCACGGGTTTTTCGCGCAATTTTATAATCTTCCAAGGGTTAATCCCGAAGATTTCAGTAATACTCACGTCTTAGTCACGAATAGAGCATCCCGCTCATTATAATACTATATACATTTAAGTTCTTATTATTCTTACATACGAATGTTATGTACATTAAGGTCAGACGATATGTTTACTTTTATACTTTGACCAAGAAGTAACATTACGCGCAAGAAATGTAACGAACCCATACATTCGGGTTCGGTCTGCGCAAATCAAGCTCTCAACAACTACATTGTTATATATAGATATCCGTCCGGACAGGACACCATAGCATAATTAAAAAATCAAACGAACTCACCAGAGTGAGATTCGATTGTAATTATGCTTGGGTCCTGTCCGGACGGATAGCGGCCCTCCCATAATTCCCGCCCGTAGGGGTGATATTTGCTCGACTCTCTAAACTAATGACGGGGCAACGCAGCGCTGCGCCGGCGGCGCCCCCGTGCGGGATGGCCGCTGCGGCTCCTTAATTTTTCGATCTCTAAAACTGTTGACAGAAACGTGCATGGAAGCATGACTACATTGTTATATATAGATATCCGTCCGGACAGGACCCAAGCATAATTACAATCGAATCTCACTCTGGTGAGTTCGTTTGATTTTTTAATTTTACAAGACAGTGACACAGAAGAAGATACTAATTTATCCAAAAATGTAAGTATTATCAATATTTAGTAATTATGTAGGGCCTTATACAGGAAACTATTTTTAATACTTATTACTGACTTCTTGTTCTTTAGAAAACACATCGTGGCGAAATAAGAGACCTTAAAAAGTTACAGGAAATTGAACGGTCAAAAAATCAGAAACAATCGATAAAACCATTACGTGAAAGGAACATACAAAACAAACAGACAAACAATATAGAGTCTTTAGCATATTCTGCTCATGTAGCGAATGAAGAAGTGGATATTGGAATTAATACAGAACACGGGGTATACAATAATCAAATATATGACGAAGACCTTTCTCATAAGGATGTTGGAAAATTACAGGAGAAGAATGTTACGGATTCAGATACCGATGAAAATGATTCAACACATATGATAAAAACATACGAAGAGGACGATGACTATAATCAATTATTTGGGCCAACATGGCCTCACGACAAAGTAAATATATACTTCATGCACATGCATACGCACACGCATACGCACACACACAAATTACATTTACAACTACCATTACTATTTTAGATGGTGTTACTTGTAAACAATATTTATTGTAAAAAACGTATATTACTTTCTTCCCTTGGAGCAGCAAAAAAAACTTCTCATTTAGTCCGTCGACTTTTGGAAGGAGTTTTCAAACCCGAAGTTATAACAAAATGTACTTTTACTGGACAAGTTGCTCGAGCGCAAGGTAAAGAGCGTCAAAAGGAAATGGTATATTGTCTTAATACATCTGCAACAAGCGCTATAATTGGTAATTAGTAATTTCTTCTTTTTTTATAAATTTGATATATACATATCTATATTATATTTTTATACATGGAAGTACAACGAGATATAAAATTCTTGTATATATAACAAAGTAATTTTTTTAGATTATTCAAGATATGTGGGTAATAGAAAAGGGTGGGAAGTTCAAGATGAAAGTTACTTAAGACATGCTATGTCTCAGAGAGTAGGAGAATTAAAAAGAGAATATAGAAATGCGCAAAACCAAATAAACATGTAAAGGTTGTCATACTATTATATATCAGTATTACATATGTTTTAAGTCTTGTGTGCACGATGCTAGAAATCGGTCCGAAAACTCGATCCAAGGAATGTACACGTATATTAGCCAATTAACTTTCCGTTTTACAGAAAAGCAGTAGTTTTATTGGCTATACATATTTCTCGGATCGAGATTTCGGACTGATTTTTAGTATCGTGGTCACAAGGCTTTAAGTTATAATATTTACTTATGCGACGCTCCAGAGTTTACATACATAATTATTATAATACAGAAAGTTTTCTAAGAAATTTATGAGAATTTAATTGTAACAAAATTGATTTCCTTTCCAATTTTATTTTTAAAGTGTTTGTTTTATCATATTGTTACTTTTATAGCAATTATAGTGCAATTATTTTTAATTTTATTTTATATTTTTAATGTTTTGTTTAAGAAACATTGTAAACTCATGGAGTTCCAAAGTAATAAAATTGTGTTTAAGTACAAAGGACCCCACCATAATCTTATGGGTTTCTGTGGAATTGTCATAAATTTTAATATGTTGTAGTCCTCGTCATCCTGAACAAATGTCACCATAGGTACAATCATCCCGGAAATCAACCCTTTGCCCGTTAAAAGTCGGTAAAGGTCAATAAATTAGCCTAACAACATAACGGGCTATATGTATATGTACGATTGCTCAGAAACGACATGGATGTAACGGTGAACTGGCTCCTTGTTCGTGTGTGTGTGTGTGTGTGTGTGCGTGCGCGCGTGCGTGCGTGCGTGCGTGCGTGCGTGAGTGAGCGAGCGAGTGAGTGAGTGAGTGAGCGCGCACACGCACACGCACGAACAAGGAGCCAGTTTACAGCCACATCCACGTCGTCTCTGAGCATTCGCACATATACGCATATAGCCAATTATGCTGTTAGGCTTATTTATTGACCTTTACCGACTTGTAACGGGCGAAGGGTTGATTTCCGGGGGTTGTGCCCATGGAGACATATGTTTAGGATGTCGAGGACTACAACATATCAAAATTTAAGACACTTCCATAGAAACCCAATTTCCATAAGATTATAGCAGGGTCCTTGACTATAAGATTATAAACTTGCAAGGAGAAATACGCAAAATCAAAACACAAAGGTGTAATGTTTGCTTTATTATATTATTTTTTAAATGTTTGCTTTATTGTATAACTTTCATAGCAATTATAGTGCAATGATACTTTAATTTTTCTTTTATGTTCTTAATGTTTTGTTTAAAAACATTGTAAACTTATGAAGCTCCAAATAAGACTGTGTTTAACAATAATTTTTCTTGTTTGTTTTTAATAAAATATTACGAACTTATAGAATTTTAAAGTGATATAATTTTGTTTAAGTTAAGGTACAAACACATTTGTAAGATTCAACGTGTAAAAAGAAAAATGTACTTGAGAAGAAAAATAAATACTGTTTTAATTACACAATATCTTATGATTTACTTGCATATATATATATATGTGTGTATGCAAATTGATCTATTCATATTAAATTATATACAAGAATGTCATCAGATCTGCGTATATAAAATTGGGATCTATACGAAAAGATCAAACTATATGAAATTA